GATTCTCTTTGGGTTTTGTTGGTTTGGGGTGTTGTTTGTTTTTTTTTTTAAAGATGCTCAACTTTTAACGAGGCACCTTTTAGAGACGTCACGTTACGCGGGAGTGCCCAGGAGATGGGAGCTGTACATTGTCTGTATATCAGCAGTTATATAAATAGAAATAATGTATTTGTGAGATACAAAACGAGGAAAAAAAGACCAAAAAAAAATAGACCCACAAAAACTCTCTTCATAATGCACATATTTTTATAGAGAAACTATACTGTTTTTTGCATTACATGTGACTCCGCAATGGGTGGTGTTTCCTTGGGTTTTATGTGGAACTAATTATAACAGCCATTCATTTTCCAAACGTTTCTCTCCTTTCTTCCCTTTCTTTTTTCTCCTCTCCTTCCCTCCACCATCATCCCACCAGCTTCTTTCCACAGCGGACGCTTTAGGTGTCTCTCTCATTTTTCTTTTGTACTTTAGAGGTTGTCCTAACTACAGAAAAAAAACAAATCACTACTGAATTGTAGCCAGTGCAATAATAAGTTATTCATTCTTGTCTGTACAACTGTCCCGTTGCTTTTTTTTTTTTCCTTTTTTAACTGAAATTCAGGTTAAGTGTCGCAATAATCTGAACTAACGTGCACAAACCCGGTTTCTCGTGTTACAAAGAGAAAAAAAAAAGACGAAAAAAAGGAAAAAGTTAAATTTACGGAGAGTAACAAAAAATAACAAATAAATAGTAACTTATTTAAGAAATGTATTTTGTTTACTGCCGTTCAAAGTAAATTATTGATACGGGATGTAGAGGTATAAAGCGCTGTGTTAGGTGATGTTCTTTGTGAGCGTTTAAGCTGATGCTGTGTCCTCCTTGTGGCAGAACGCCTTCGGAATCCCAGTGGGAACGTCACCGTCCCACTTGCACTTTCTGTCGGTCTTCCCTCCGCACCCCCGCACGGACACGGTCACCTCCCAAGGCCCTTCCGTCGCCAGCTCCAGCTCAGAAGCCTCTAGAGGAATCCAGGTCACCTGTTAACACCACTTTTTTTTTTTTTTTCAGTTTTGGGGTTGATTTTTTTCTTTTTTAGCCTCCAGTCCCTGCCCCCTCCCCTGGCCCTTATCCAGACCCTCTCCACATGGGACAGCTTCGCCATGGAAAGCTGATGCTAAATAAGAGCAGTAACGAGTCCGCGCCGTCAGCCCGAGCGCCGGGCAGCGGCAGCGAAAAGACATACAGGGAAAAAAAGGAAATTAAACCAACTGTTTTTGTTTGGTTCGTTCCATGCCGCCTCATATTTATGCATTCACATATATCTTCTGTTATTTATGCATTCATTACTCAAAAGGAAATGTATCTTGTTTCACATGTATTAAACTGTATAAACTGGAAGCGTGGCCTGACTTTGTGCCGCAGGGCAGGGGGTAGCCGGGATGCCGAGCTGAGACCCCCTGGCCCACGGGTCTCCATCCCACTCCCGGAGCTCAGCATCCCCTAAAACCGCTTCCCTAAATGTGACCGAACCATCCCCTTCCCCGCTGGCGTTGGGAGCCAGTCCCACCACGTGCAAGAGCCTCCGTATGTCGAGCGGCTTCGGACTCCGAGCACCTGCGCCGCTGTAATTACGCATCATTTAGGATTATTGTAAATAATTATTCCATCTCGGTGGGATAGTGAGGAATTCCAGAAAAGCACCGTGAAAGTCATTATTAATAGCGCTTTGGGGACACTGGCAAACTCCTCTCGTTGCAGTGCGAGCAGCAGACTGGAAAGGAGGGGAGGTGAATCCCCTGCGCGGGGCCGAATCCTGCCTGGAGGCGCGTGGGACATCCCGGTGCATCCCTCAGCGGAGGAGGCTGCGCCGCGCAGCTGCTCGTGGTGTTAATTACTGCTGTAATTAATTTAGCTTTGCTGGGAAAGGCAGCGTCCCCCCGTGTCCAAATCCCCTTCTCCGTGCCCCGGAGCTGGAGGAAAAGCCTCTCGCTGTGGGGCGGCGCAGCTGGTGGCTGATGGTGACGGGTAACTCCCAGCTCGGTGTCGGAGAAGGGGCTTCTTTAGAA